AAGGTATTTTGTAGGAACTGATTTAGTAATTCTACTTGTTAATTTATAGAGTCGGTGCCCAGAAAGATAGACCAATCACATTGCTCCAGGCGTGTCCGGAAGTGTTCGTCATCCCAGTTTGAGAGATCTCGATGAGTGATCATGCGGGGTAAGATCTTAGGGGGTTTAATCCTTAGAACCACCCAAATTAGATCATGAGCAGACAGGAAAGGAACCGGACACTGCCCATGGGAGATGACCTTGGATGGGCTGTCAACGATACATAAGTCCAACCACGTGTGTGCGTTTCCTCTATGATGTGTGGGCGAATACTGCACCAGACGTAAATCGTTCCTAGTGATAAACGAGTGAAGCTGGGAACTGTTAAAAGTAGATGTAAGTAAGTCAGTGTTAAAGTCACCAAGTACAATAATATTAGTATAATCAGAAGCAAGTCTGGTCAAGACATCCTCAAAATCAGAGAAAAATCTAACTTTAGGAGGACGATATACAGCAGCAGCTAGCACTCGAGGAGCACCAGGGATCGACACCTCAACAAATATGAATTCCGGTCTGGAGCAATATTCGCTCTCCGAGGAGGCAATAATCCTTGCAGAAAGTGATTGGTGAACATAAATTGCTACACCACCACCACCTCTGCCGACCCGATCACAGCGATGTAGAACATACTCATCAAGTTTTGCCGCGAGGTCAGTCATATATGGTTTAAGCCAGGTTTCGGAAACCGCCAGTATATGAAAGAAGTTATCTACTATATACTCTCTTAGTTCATCAATATGTGCTATGACTGATTGAGCGTTTACATGGCCCACCCGAAGCCCAACTGCCGGATCGACAGGTAAGTTCGGAGATGTTGCGGAAAGTTGTCATAAGGTGGTAATCTTCTCTAGGTCGTCCCGGCTCTCGATGCGAAGCAGTGTAGATGATCCAGTCTTCCGCACCAGAATGGTTCCACGGCGAGTCCACACCCACAATTCTGGATGAGGTTTTGCACGGGCACGTGCTTCACTAAGGAGCTTCATCTTTTCATTGGATAACCACTCATTGATGTAGATCTTGGTCCGCGGGAAGGAAGAATGTACCTCAGACGCCAGTAGAACAGACTTCTTCTTCTTGTGCTGTATCCATATATCCCGTTGAAATGACGTGCTTAGACGAACCATCAGTCCTGGAGCAGCTTCATTCCTCGAGCGCAATCTGTGCGCCTCCACAATATGATTGGGACTTAAGCTTAGATCGATGGCCTTAGCTGTCATAGTGACCAGATCCAGATTCGACAGTGTGTTGTCAATTGGCAAGCCAGAAATCACAATCTGCGTGCTGTTTAACCGATTCGTCAGTTGCTGAACCTGTGCACGGAGATCGGAATTATCAGCATTTTCGGACGATGGAGACTCTTGAGAGCGATTTGTAAGTCGGTTTTCGAGATCATCTAAACGTTTAGTGAGAGCTTCATTGGACTCTTCAAGCGTCTAGCAACGTAAGTTCAAGGCAGAGAAATCGCTGGTGAGTTGATTTACCGCAGTAGAAATATTATTTGAAGTGGCAGAAAGTTTCTCTACCAGGCCATAAAGTCCATCGATGGCTGACATTTTCTGTTTGATCGCAGGTAGATCCCTGAGCTGCAAACTGACATCACGTAGGATAGCAGTAATGGATGAAAGCTCCGAGGTCGACGTGGAGGCAGCCGGCTGAAAGGACATGATCGCCGTTGGTGAGTTCGAGTTACAGAGCAGATTAGGGTTTGGATAAACTAACGAGCAGCTCTGACACACAAAGTCTTCAGCAGTGGAGCCAGCTTTTTCAACACACTTCCTGTGGCCGTAGATAACACATGCAAATCCCTTGCATTTGACACTTTTTTCCGCCGATAAAAATTGCTTACAGAGGAAACAGTTTATCCTAGTCATGAGGTGAGTGTAGCAGTGATAATCCGCAGAGTTTATGTACCATAAGGCAAAGTAGATACACCGTCGGTAAACGTGTTGTCATGTGACACTAAGTGTAAATAAATACTGTTTACGGTGACGTCTGTCAGCACAGTTTTAAGGACAATTTCAAAAGCAATCAAACTTATCTAACGGTATTCGTGGTAAGATTGGAGATCTTGACGACTTTTTTAACAGTTTCAGTCACATATGGTACCGGACCAGGCAGCACAGGATTAACACCGGAGAGTGTAAAATAGGATTGACCACCTATGGAGTCCACGCTTCACTGTATTATGTATCAACTGATGCAAGCATGCAATCACACAGTAAGTCACACCAATTAAATCACTAATTTAGACAAGTCACCGAATTTACATAAAACCAATAAGAGTTTTTAACATTTCAGACATTCCGTGAGAAAATAATAATCAAAAGTCACTAATAACCCCAGAAGAATCTCATCAAGTCAGAGACAATTTTAATCGTGCAGTCAACTTGACGCCATCTTTCTCCAAATGTTTTCAACCTTTCAAACCTTTCGACCAATAGAAAAATTATAGAAAAGGACAGAACGGTTCCTACGATGTGCTCTCTATTTCTATTCTCGACTACACTTTCTAAAGCTGCAATGAGCAGTCCAGTACTATATGTCGATGGGTTCAAAGTATAAACTGCGTTTATCTTCAAAATACAAGTGTCTGCTGATTGGCTAACAGCACAGTTAAACCGATTTGGGCATTGAACCGCGTCGAAGAAAACGGCCATTATTCGTTCTTTTCTGGCGTACCTCAAATGTGTCTACAATCAATATAGCATCTGTTAAAAGAAGTGCATATTTTCATATTTATTGTTGATAAGGTACACTGATCAAGTGTAGTTCAAATTTAGACCTTAGTGCAGTTTTCGATAATAGATATCTAGTTCGCAAATACTGCGATTCGTAATCTCGAGTGATATGTCATGAATATACGTACATCGCTATATGTTCCTATTACTATATACAGGGTGTTCCGAATTTACCTTACCAACCTGAGTTTTCTGCCCTCGTTTTTGTTTCTCGGTCGCTATGGGCAGACTGAAGCCAGGCGAAGGCATGGCTATTAGATGTTACGCACTAATTGAAAACTACAATATCCTATGACAATATAGGAAAAATTAAGATTTGTCGCAGTAAGTAGATCCGAAATCTGTTATCTACAAGTACTATGAGATAGCTTTCAAGGTCCTTCCTTCCTTCCTTCCTTCCTTCCTTCTCCTTCCTTCCTTTCCTTATGATTGCCTGCTCCAATGAGGAGATGTGTCAGAGCTTTCAAAGTACGTTCCGAAATTCACTATCAATATTGCAAACATGTAGTGTCTCATTCTATTGCGTATAGGTAAATAGGGACCACGACGATACTTGTAATACTGACAGTGAATTTTGGAACATATCCTCAGTATTTACGAATATCATGGTATCTTTCTTTACCTGCATTGAATAGGATAAGATCTAACCCGATATGTCAACTATGCATATAGCTTAGTTTCCACCGTGCAGATTTTGAACAGAGTCAAGCAGCACTATTGGTCAATTCCGTTCAACCTCTATACGTGATTGGTGAACTCTGTTTAAACTCTGCATGGAAACTAAGGGCTCATTCAGACCGAAAGCAGCGGGAAGCGGGAAGCGAACAGCGGAATCTTAGCTGTGAAAATACATTTTCTGCCTTTTTATGTTAGCTAGTCGTATGAAAGCATTAAGAAATAAGTTATTTACCTTAATTACGTATATAGAGTCAAGTATACTGCATTGAAAATAGCAATACATAATTTTTCTTAAAACATTACTTCATTACTAAGCAGATTCCAATGCTTGGACTGCGATTTTGGAAAGTTGATCAACGTTCTACTTTCCGTAGCAGCGACATAGCAAAAAGATGATGGCAACCCTACTACACGTCATAGTTCATGTTTGAAATAAATTTTGAATTCTGCATCAGACGAAATGTGTAGAGCCCGTGGTATAGCTTCGTTGTATGTTACATGCATGTAGTCTCCATTGTTACAATTTAACATAACGACCAATCACAATATGCCTGTGCGTATGTATGTTGGAAAGAGGTACCACTGCTATTGTACAGTTTCAAGCTGCTTGCAGCTCGCTTCTCGCTTCCCGCTGCTTTCGGTCTGAATGAGCCCTAAAGCTATGTATAGACGACGGTCTTAAACCGATTAGTTAATACTGACCAAATACCACCAAACGACTACCAATCGATTGGTAAAAAGAAAAATGTCAAAAGTCAAAGTGGGGGGTTAACCTAATACTAAAAAATTGTTATGGATTTGGAAAGTAAACCGAAAACTACCAAACGTTTTGAATGGACTACCAAATACCACCAAACGACCACCAATCGATTGGTAAAAAGAAAAATGTCGAAAGTCAAAGTAGAGGGCTAACTTTGCGGAGCTGCGTGAGAATCTGGAGCTGTGTTTTGGTGCGTCGACGCGCCACCTGAACGAGACTCTCGGACTAGTCCTACGTTTTTGATTGGTCGAATGAATTCGTGTGTTCTTCGAGATCCACGATTTTAAGCCGGGTGAACACTCAAATAGGGAGACTTGTATCCACCTTTTTTTTTTTACAGGATATTACATAAACCGTAGTAATAAGGTAGTCAATACCCTTAATATCCATATGAAGTTCTGGAAATAATAGAGTAAGGAAATAAAACTTTAAACAAACCCTCAAACGTGGCTAACTTTAGAAAAATAAGTTTATTAAATAATATATCATGATTCGCTGTCACACGTGCTTGGTGCTGAGTTAACGTCCGAGAGTCTCAAGTTCGAAACTAGCGTCTTATCTCTTTTTTTTTTAATCATCAACTATGCTAATTGGTTCACTTAATTAACTGAAGA